TCATGTATGTGCTCTGGGGCTTGCCCCAGGACAGTGTGATACTGTATCACAGTGGTATTGCATACCTGGAAATCTCCTTTGAACCACCCCCACCCAGAATACATCTTCAAAATGTTGTTTCTTAAAACCTGTAGCTACTGTCATGGAGTCTGTGCAGTTTTCTGTGCATCCCTGTGAAGGTCATTGTTATGCAGCGGATAAGTTTATGAAGTTGCACATTTTGTTTATGTGTTTTGTATTTCTTATGCAACATTATGAATGGTATTTGTTTTAGTATATTGATATAGTTTTGTTTTGAATACAATTAGTCCCATAAGTTTTATTTTGTCAGAACTATTGTTTCCGCTGTGCTACTTCCAGTCCTTCCACGAGAGAGAGAAGACTAGCAGCAGAGGAAGGACATTTAAAACATTAATTTAAGAAGTTTGAGTTTTACTACCAGCCTTTGCTCACAAGCAAGTCAAAGTGGTATGTCTCATTTTTGTTTATGGATTTATTGTTGCACCATGTCTATTCAATGTGAAGTAACATGGTTGTTTATTTCCATTGTATTTACCTTGTTTGTTAGTTCTACGGTGTTTGGTGTATAAAGGAAGAACACATTAAACATTGAAAATCTTTTTTTTTAAGTAATTTCTTTCAAACCTTTGTATCAACACAAGACTTCACATTCTAGCTGAGGCTACACAGCTACTAGCAGACACACAGTGCATGTCGACAGTAAATAGTCATTCTTCTCTCCTCCTTTTCTCACTGGTGCAAAATGCCCATTCAGGTTAATGGTCTTTGAGCTTGAGCAAAAACTCCAGACTCATTCCGAAGATATGATGACAATTTTCTAATATAACCATATAGGTTAAAAAAGGATGGTACCTGTTTGAAAATTAGTTCCTGATACTGTATGTTCTTACTCTGAGCTAGCACAAGTATGCTCTATACACTTAGACGTTGCCAACAGCTAGCTAACACCTACATCTAACATACAGAATGTATAGTCAGTGAAATGACTATGGTAACAAACAAAAAAGTGCAAAAACACACTTGTGGTCAACCTTGCCTGATTTACACAAGATATAAAGTTACTTTGCATTCAATCTGAACACCTCAGGTAAGAATGAAAATACCATTTGGTCTGTCTAAAACTTTGCTCTAGTAAAATAACTCTCCTATCCCAGTCACTATGAATTTTGACATTTAACTTGACCAACTTTTCAGGTGATCTCCCTGATAATATCAGCTATGGTTGTTAGATAGATGTTTGATAAAAGTTCCAATGGCAAGCACAACATCCTGTCACCATGGACCTCTTGGAGTAGGTGTTCAGAACAGGATGTGAAGGACACCACCCTTTGTCATCAATTGCCCTGTATGTGTTTGTGTGTGTGTGTGTGTGGGGGGGGTGTTAGCCTGAGGATATCAAGACATGGACATGACCATGACTGAGGTGGTAAACAGCATAATAGAAAGGCATGGCCCTGACCCCAAAAGCTAATGGAGCATTAAGTGGACCTGAGCTATAAATGGTGATGCAGTCAAAAAACCTGTGAAATGTAAACTGTTCCTTCTGATAAAGGAGAGGGAACACGAGGGCCTTTACAGTAGCAGGTGACTGAAATTTCCTAAATACTGAATGTCTGAAAACTCCACTAATACATTAGTATAACTCAAGGTAACATATTTCATTTTAGCCTCCGGTTGTTCATCCTTCATTTTTGTGAAAGCGTTTGAGAAATGATGCAACTGCTCCTCACTGGCTGAAATACTGGTCAGTGTATATAGTGAACAAACTAGCAAACTAGCTGAGTGGAGGTCTCCTCATTCCTTCTGCAGATCCTAAGTAAAATCATGACTGGGGTACTAAGTAATGAATAATGAGATCAGCATTATTCAGATGAAGCTTTTACAATACATAAGTTCAAGCCGGAAGACAACAGTCAGTCACCATTTCATTATAGTGGGGTTACACCCCAGTTTAACCTCCTACACCCCACCACCATCAATGTCAAGTCTCCATCAAAGGCCTGGGGATATTTGATTTGGCTTTTACTCAGCGGGTTTGATCCCTTTGTATCTATTCCAGATGGGGTTGACACCAAATATGTTTAAATAAATTCTGTCATTGTCATCTATTTGTGTCTTTCCTGATTGAAATATATCTACAGTCATGATATAAAGAAAGTACTCCCTCTTTCAGGTCTATGTTTTTATTCATCAGGGCCTAAAAACAATAAAAAAATAGCCTATTATAACCTATTAGGTTGTACCATTTAGATTTATCCTAATTATTTTAAGTTTTCTTATTCTATTTTATTCTACTTTTATTCTATTTTAGTTTCTTAAATGGTACGGCATTCAATATTAGATGAAAGAGAAAAACAGTATTTCGATTTTTCTGTATGTCTGTTTTTCTGTATATAATGAATTGACAATAAAAATCTTGATCTTTGAAACAATAAAATTACTTCAGGTGACAACAAAAACACAACAGATTTCAACATATGGTTACTGTCTCCCAAAAGTAAACCAACATTCAGAAACCATGTGGTTTATTAAAAGTTCACCCTATAATTCCTTAGCATGTAGAACCACCCTTAGCAACTTGAAGTAAATGTTTTCTGTAGGAGTTTATGAGCCTCCAATATCATTTTGGAGAAATGTTGGCCCACTCTTCTGTCCAACATGGCTTCAGTTCACTGATGTGTGAGAGGACCCATTCGTGCACAGCTCTGTTAACATCCTGCCACAGCATCTCAGTGATGATGTGCTTGGGATCATTGTCCTGTTGCATGACCCAGTTTTGGCCCAGCTTAAGCTGCTGGGCAGATGGCCTGACATTTGTCTCAAGAATATTCTACTATAAAGTGGAGTTCACTGTCATCTCCATGTCTGCAAGTTCCCTAGGTCCCGTGACTGCCAAACAAGTCCAAATCAAAACTCCTCCACCATCATGCTTGACAGGTGGTTATGAGGTGCTTATGGTGATACGCTGTTTGGTTTTCACCAAACACGATGTCGTGCATGACAAAGAAACAGCTCCACTTTGGTCTCACCAGTCCAAAGGCAGTTTTTCCAGAGCTACTATGGTTTGTTGAGATGCAATTTTGCAAACCTAAGTCATGCTGCCTTATTTTTTGTGGAGAGAAGGGGCTTTTTCCTAGATAACCTTTTGTGAAGGCCATACTTGTTCAGTCTTTTTATAATAATAAAATCTGACCTTGGACTGAACTTGCTGGGATGGCCATCCCTGAGAGGACTGGTAGCTGTCTTGAAGGGTCTCTATTTGTAAAAAGTCTTTCTCACTGTAGAACAAGGAGTCTCAGATTGTTTGTTGATGATCTTATTACCATACCAAATTGATAAGTGGTGAGAATAGGTTCTCTGAGTCCTTTTTTTTTGACATGATGTAGACACACACACTTCAGTGCTCCAGAACACCAAACTGCCAAATGTTCTGCTGTTATAGAGGTAGTCACACTTCTTAATGATTGACTAATCCTGTGCACTAGATTAGTAACACCTGGCTGCTGATTACTCCCTTAATGACTGTGGAAGTAGGAAGGGTATACTTCCCATCTGGTTTCTGAATGTTGATTTACTGTACCTTTGGAAAATAGTAACCACATATTGAAATCTGTTGTTTTTTTCTTTGTGACCTGAGTATATTTTGTTTGTTTGTTTATATACATTAGTGAGGTCCGCACAATTGTTTTATACCACCTGATGACCAATAATATAAATTGAAGGAGGTTATACTTTGTCTTTACCATGACTGTATATATATTAAAATTAACCTCAAGAAACACACATTGTCAAACCAGAGCTATGAGTTTCTGGACACTCTTACTGTAAAGGCCACAGGTTATGTTTCCACTTCTGTTTTTTGAGCTACAGTAGCTTAGGTACACTAATGCCTTCCCTGGGAATGCTAATGGCTAGCCTATGAATGCTCATGGCTAATGACTATCAAAGTCAGATACATACCTAGTGGGCTGCCGTATGTGAGCTACCTAACATGGAAGCTACAGTCATATATCCAATGTGAGTTATCAAATTGCCTAGTATCTGTCTCTATATGTCAGTCCTGTGATAGACTGGCGAACTGTCCAGGGTGTACCGCAACTCTCGCCCAATGTCAACTGGGATAGGCTCCAGCCCCCCAACAACCCTTTTCAGGATAAGCAGTATGTATAATGGATGGATGGATGGATGAAATTGCCTAGGTCAGTGAATAGGTACGTAGCTTGCCTGAAAAAGTATTGAAGAGATACTTCCAGTATGTCATTTACTGCCACCAGTCATTCAGTGACTAAACCAGTTGCCAGCCTTGACATAAATAAAGGTCCCTCTGATTTTTCAGTAGTTTCAGTAAATTTTGGCATTTTACCTGTCCTACAGAAAGCACTTGGTGCACATTCGTTGCTCCTCCTTGCACTCCTTGTACAATCATTGCTTTATGTGTACATTAATAACTGAAGGTGACTCTGACGATGTATCAGTGTTTTCATCAGGTCAAATCATCTGGACGGGGGCAGATAGACAGGTAGAGAACAATGCTCAGAGACACTTGAGTAAAGAAATCACAAATAACACAAATTCCTGACTCTTTAGCCTTTTTCTCAAACCTAGTAGTTCCAACTAAAGTCAACATGAGCAGAGATCTAATCAGTCCTAAGTGAAAACACCTGTGTGGGTGTACAGGTCCTATAAATATAACCATGAAGGGCTACTCTTTATGTACTTTGGAAAGATTCAAAGGTCAAAATTAACACTGAACTTTCTTATTTAAATTGGCAATTTTTATTTGGAATACCATTAACAAAACAAAACAAAACAAAAAAGCATCTGAGTCCCCTAAATTATATTGTTTTTTATTTAACTCAAAAAGCCTCTTAAACAGCAGAAACCAAGGGACAACAAGCCTTTCTTTTCAAACTCATGACAATATATAAATTAAGTTCATACTGTATAAGCACACTGTGTAAATTGGGTCTGAAACTCACACTCTTTGGACATTCCCACCGTGAAGCACTTCTGCAGGCGACAGTACTGACAACGGTTCCTTGTCACCTTGTTGATAATGCAGTTCTTGTCCCGGTGACATGTGTACACCATGTTCTTCTGGATGCTTCGGCGGAAAAAACCCTGAGGAGACAGACACAGATGGGTGAGGGGGTGAGATGTTCATGAAAGGAATATTCTCATGACGTTCACCTCATTTTGCTTCTAATCTTTTGTAGCCACCTTTTTTCTAAAATATCCACACAGCTCTATTGAAATTCTACTGCCACCAGATATAATAATGTCATGACAGTCTCTGCTAGATGTTTCATCTTTTCAGTGCCGTTAAGGCTGAGAGAAAAGAGAGGTGGTGTGTCCCCGCTGGGAGGTCTGTGGCGCTTCAGATTTAGGCTCAGAAACAGAGTATTACCGGGAACAGACAATGAAGACCCTCATGGGAGCCAAAGAGTGAAGTTGCTAGTGCCGTGTGGAAGAATAACTGAAAACATTGGTTCAACTGTGGATGGGAGCAGCACACTAGAATTTACCAAGGTGACACTGAGCTTCTGTGGAAGACGGAAGCCACTTTTCTTTCAAAAGAATGCTTGGATTGTAATTCACTGGTAAAGCAGTTATGGCTCTTGGACTCATCCAATGTGTTGCAAGAGATATACCTATTCTAAGTACCAAAGACATGTAGCTCCACCAACAGCTGTGACAGTGGAAGAGCTCTGTGTTGAGAGATGAGGTCATTAAAGTGAGAGGCACTGTGCTCTGGGGTTCATATCAAGCTCAGTTCTGAACTCCTAAATCACTAAAAATGAAATGAAAATTACAATAATGCAGCCATGATAACCAAAATTTTAACACAGGATAAAAAAGCTTTTCATCAGAGATCAAATGTTTTTAAATTTGATTTAGGGTTATAATGGAAATGATATTTGTTGCCTAATAATCTGACTGAATTGCTATTGAATTTAATTTCACACCATTATTCATAGAATTTTCCAGGTTTTAATCCTCACAGGGACTTAACACTGACTTACATTCATTTCTTGGAGACTTATGCTAACCTTAACCTAACTCTAAGCTTAAACCAAATTGTCACCCTAACATTCAGTGATTTCCATGGCTAGGACCAGCATCTGGTCTTCATGAGAAAAGTGAGTCCCCACAGTGTGAGAGTGTAAACAGGTGTTGGTCCCCACAGTTGGAGTAATACCAGGAGTGCACACACGTTTGTTTTCAAACCTTGGGGGGACTTTGACTTACATTCATTTCCTGGAGTCTTATCCTAACCCTAACCTAAAGCTTACAGCATCTGTCTTTCTCACTAAATATTTATCAACTCCTCAACCCCCCACCAACAAAACTATGTCATCCTTCTCATTGGCTGAGATACATCTTCTGGATAGTGAAAACAAAACTCTATAAAAAAGTCTCAGATACAAAATAGAGCAGAGCTTCTCATGACTGGGAAAATTTTGGAAAACTAGATTACAGTTATAATCTTAAAGTAAAAACACTGTTGTTTTAAACATTTATTACTCAGCTAAACACTTTCAAGAGCTCTGACAAAAAATTAACAACTTGCATTTTCCTCAGATTATTCTCTTGAGTATGAGGAGCATATTCTCAGCTGTGATATGGGATGAATAATGTCTTACAGCAGCAGAGAACAACAGCTTTACTTATTTACAGGCAAAATCAGCAAAACATTAAAATGAGCTTTTTAATACCTTTAAGTCTGCATGATGCGTTTTATTTAACACAAGGACAATACAGTATGCATTCATTTTTAAACTCTTGTCTGTAGCTGGTATGCTTGACTGATGCCAGAAATGTCCCTTCTTAACCACTGGAGCATTATTAATTTAAAACCACATTTAGCCATGTGGTGTAACACTCCAAGCATTCCAGGCTGCCTGCTTGAAGGAGAAGGATAATGAAGACAGTGTGGGTCCTCTTTAAACGTCTTGCTACACTTAAACAGAGGCCAAGCTTGGCTGCGCCTTTTCCTGAGTGGCAGAAAGCAGAGGAGCATCTATCGGAAGCAGGAACCTCAAATGATGTTTTCCTCTTGATATTAATATCCTGTAGCTCTGGGGTCTTTGCAATGATCATCCATCATCCAGGCCCTTTTGCACGTTTACAGGCATTTGTGCCTGAAGAGCTTCATTCAGTATAACGGGGGGTTAAAATTCCATTTACCATAGCTGCCTGTGACGGATGAGACCTTGCCTTTTCATTAGTGAAGCAGGATGCATGATGGGTAACAGATTAGATCACAGGAGTGAAACGGCTGACTCTGTAGCCCATCTCGCCTTGGCCTCGAGCATCTGTCTAGCTGTAGACTGCCCCCTTGGTAGCACAGGTACTAACAAAAAGAAGCCAATCATATTGCCCCCGGGCAGCATGGTGGCACTGTGGTTAGCGCCGTTGCCTCACAGAGAGAAGGTTCCAAGTTCGGGCCCCACCTGGGACCTTTCTGTGTGGAGTTTGCATGTTCTCCCCGTGCTTGCATGGGTTCTCTCCGGGCACTCCGGCTTCCTCCCACAGTCCAAAGACACGCAGCTTCGGTTGATTGGTGTCTCTAAATTGCCCATAGGAGTGTGTGTGTGTGTGTGTGTGTGTGTGGTTGTTCGTCTATGTGTTAGCCCTACGATGGATTGGCGACCTGCCCAGGGTGTGCCCCGCCTTTGCCCGATTGCCGGCCGGGCTTGGCTCCGTGACCCCGTTCAGGGACTAAGCGGTAGAAAATGAATGAATGAATGAATATTGCACCCTTGATGACACATGACCAGTCTGAGGTTACCTCTCCTCAGTTGGCATAATTCATTTTCGTAATAGAGGACTATATCCCGGCTGATATAAGCCAAGTGAGTTGGTAGACATTACCTGTGAGGTCTGATGGATGAACATGACAGTGGCAGCATTAGCTGCCATATAACTGTGTTCAGGTTGGGTGCAGAACCCAAGGCTATTCAGGTTCTTATGTCACTTCAACTTGTGAGCATGCTGGTCACTTAGCCTTGGAAACCTATGTGTGTGTGATAGGTGCTGTGTGCTCAGGGTTATACTGGGAGCTGGAGCTGTTGCAGATTGTGTGTGGTGTGTTTGCATTAGCATTATGTGAGCTTCAGTTATTTGGGGAAGGTTTGTTGACAGTTCAAGCCATGAGCTGTGATTGTCCTCGTTTAAACTTCCTCAACTGCATGATGAATAAAATATTACACACAAAACAATCTTGCTCTCTCTCTCTCTCTCTATATATATATATAAATATATGAGAAATCTGAGATGTCTGGCAACTAGGCCTCTAAATTATCCAGAAAAAAGAGACTATTTCTACACAGAGACTATTATTATTGTGTGTTATTTCAGTTCCGTAGGCAACAGAGAATTTAATTCCACCCCCTATTTAAGCCATCAACTCTGTGATATCCCCCAAACTACTAGTGTTTAACTATATTTGATATTAAAATGTCTTAAATGCATTGTTGTTCTAATGTTTTTATGCAAAAGGTGTATGGGTTCACTATAGGTACGCATGAGTATACTTGTTTTTTTCATGGCATGCCAAATGCAAATTATAGAGAGTAATATACTATTCTGGTAGACCTCACAATGGTACTCTTGTCTTTCTGTCATTTATGAATAAATTTAGATCTAACAAACATGTTTTGAATGGATTATTGTCACAGCACAACAGTCAAGATTAGTGGGCCCAAGAGAAAAGAATGATGAGAGACTCATATAGTTACTTCAACCAAAAACAATTTAAAAAAGATAACTAAAGATGAACATTCCTTAAAGTTTAAATAAAAATAAATGTCTTAAATGTGCCTATGTGCACAGCTCAGCCATGTGTCTGACATTTATTTGCTGCCCATAATGCCTGACTCATATGTTGTTTTGTGTGCCTATGTGTAATTGTTGTGCAGGTGAATAAGGTGTCTTGTTATGTCAGTCATCAATAGGAGCATGATGCCAGACCTTTCAAAACCAGGCTGAAAGCAGTGTTTTCCCATTCTGAGTCTGTTTCACATCTGAACTTCTTGTGACATCACTGCTGGGTATGTTCATCAGTGTGTTCTGTTACACCTGTAATCACACCCAACAGTGAAGTCATAGTGTGCTGAAGTACACACCTGGAATGGATGTCTGGACATCATGACTCTATCAATGAGAATAATACATTTACAGGACTGTTGCATGAAGATGTTTGTCAAGTATTTGAAATTATGTTTCCATATGACTAAAGTGCAACAACAAACACATTTTGAAGAACAAATAGTTGTGACCAGATGTTTTATATAATCATATAGAGGATGTGATGTTTATATATTTGGCAAGTCACAAATATGTTGATACTGAACCTACTGAACCTGTCTGTGAGATGTTCACTGACAAGATATTTGTTTTGCACCAAAATGTCCTATCTTGTGGTACCCATTTGTAATGGCTACATCCTTATTAGACTTTTTCAAAATTTTCACCTGTTGCTCATTAGCTCCCGGTTCCTACCCTTTATATTCTGCTCCCTATACCCTGTTTGTGCTGTGTCTGTGGTCTCTTTAAGATGCTTCCTTTTTTGTTCTTGAACCTTTGGGCTGTTTTCCCATTGGACTTTGGACTTTCCTACAGTCATTAATTCTCAGTTGGTGTTTTGGGTTTGTTTGAGTTGTGTGTCTTTGAGTTCTCTTCCCTAGCCCCCTGACTCAACTGTTTAGTTAAGTTATTCGACATTCTTTGTTACTCTGTGTCAGGTTGAGCTCCTTGTATTATTTTCTTAGTCCCTTTGTCCAGTACCCTTTATTAAACTTTATTCTTAGTTCTTCCTCAGTCTGTGTCTACATTTTTGGGTCCATCTCGT